ATTGCTGTAAGTGAAATGACCAAATTTCTAGATTTCATTTGGCAGACCTGGGAAATGAATGGGGGCATGGTCACTGTACCTAGCATTTGCAAAGCTCTGCGCTAGAAATGGAGGGAAGTGGAGAGTTAAGGCAGGGCTCCCATTCCCGAGTCGCTGCTCGTTAGCTGCAGATAAGACGTTGTCCTTAGTCCTCAGACTTCTTGGGAAACAATCCTAAAGTATTTCCCTGCCTTTTATGTTGTTGACAGTTTTGAAAAATACAGACCTTACATTTTGTAGGTTGACTGCCAGCATAGGCCTGGTCCTTTCAAACCACCAGACCAAGGTTAAGCATATTTGGCAGGAATACCACAGAAATGATGCCATGGCTTTCTCAGTAAGTCACATGAGGAGGCACACAGATGTCAACCCATCCCAATGCTGATGATGCTAATCTTGATCACCTGGTTACGTTGTTATCTGCCTGGTCTCTCCATTTTAAAATGCGTTATTTTTCCCTTAGTAATTGTTGGTAAGTACTGTGGAGATGACACTAATATCCTTTTTCTGGGCAAACCTTAATCTTCCATGCTTTTTTTTTTTTTTTTAAGACAGAGTTTCGCTCTTGTTATCCAGGCTGGAGTGCAATGGCGTGATCTCGGCTCACCGCAACCTCCGCCTCTTGGGTTCAGGCAATTCTCCTGCCTCAGCCTCCCGAGTAGCTGGGAATCCTCCATGCGTTTAGCATTCATTGATGTTTTCCACATGAATCGATCGCCTCTATGATGTTGCCAGATCCTGTTTCTTTATATCCCCTTTGCCTTCTGCATTTGTTAGTTGGCCTTCCACTGTAAGGAGGTCCTTTATTTTCTCAGTTGTTTAGTTATATTGGTATGGACTCATGGATTTCTGTTATTATTCATTGAGTTGTACTCCCTTACTTTTATTTTTTATTTTAAATGTCCCAGATTTTGTAAAGTTGTATCAAAATATCGCATGCAAGGCTGGGCGTGGTAGCTCAGGCCTGTAATCCCAGCATTTTGGGAGGCCGAGGGGGATGGATCACTTGAGGTCAGGAGTTCGAGACCAGCCTGGTCAACATGGTGAAATCTCATCTCTACTAAACATACAAAAATTAGCCGGGCATAGTGGCACATGCCTGTAATCCCAGCTTCTCGGGAGGCTGAGGCACAAGAATTGCTTGAACTCGGGCGGCAGAGGTTGCAGCTGAGATTGCGCTGCTGTGCATCCTGGGCGACAGAGCGAGACTGTGTCTCGAAACACACACACACACACACACACACACACACAACCTTGTAAATACGTACAGCGATTATGTATCCATAAGAGTTAAAAAGAAAAATGTTGGCCAGGCATGGTGGCTCAAGCCTGTAATTCCAGCACTTTGGGAGGCTGAGGCGGGCAGATCATGAGGCCAGGAGTTCAAGACCAGCCTGGCCAACGTAGTGAAACCCAGTCTTTACTAAAAAAAAAATACAAAAATTAGCCAGGTGTAATGGCAGGTGCCTGTAATCCCAGCTACTTGGGAGGCTGAGGCAGGAGCATCTCTTGAACCCAGGAGTCTGAGGTTGTAGTTTCAGTGAGCCAAGATCATGCCATTGCATTCCAGCCTGGGTGACACAGCGAGACTCTGTCTCAAAAGAAAAAAAACAGAAAAGAAAAATGTCCCAGAATTGGCTACTGGGTGCCTCATTAAGTTGGTTCCTGTGTTCCTTTGACATGTTTCCATTTTTCATTGACATTTCTTTACTTTTTGACACAAAAAGCTGTGCCAGGTGCAAGTTTCCCTGTCCCAACCCTGGAATCAGCTGTTTCTCCAAAGAGCCTGATTCTTTTGAAGTGGAGGATGGTGCTGTATTTACAAACCAAGATCTGGGAGTTCAGTGTGTTAAGATTCTTGCTTGGGCACCATTGCTTCTAGGCCTTCTCAATAGACAGAGCTAGGAAATAATACATCTGTATATATGTACACAAATCTCCACACACGCATTTATGTACTATCTATAACTATTTCTCTATTTGTGTCTACACATGTATTATAAAACCATGACTTCATACTGATAAATACCACTTCCAACCTAGCCCCTCACGTTTTTTTCTAATCTTACCCCATCCCTGTTTGTAAATATGTTATCCAGCATTGAGAAGTTTGGCTCCTGTTATTCTCAATATGTTTACTTATTTGCTCAATCAGCTTACTTGAGCTCATTGTAGCAATCTCCCAACCACTGGTTTTTTTATTTATTACATCATAGGTAATCAGTGCTTATTTTATATATATATATATTTTTAGAATCATCACTGATTTGTGGTACAGGATGTAATCAGTGCTTATTTTCTCATGCAAAGATGTTCTAGGCTCATCTTGTATTTTTCCAGCTCCAGCTCTGGAACTTGCCTTTTCTGCAAAGACCTCTGGTTTCCTTTGATTTAAAAGTATATTTAGAAACCAAAATCTGGTACTAGATATGGTCATTATTACTTTTTTTTTTTTTTTTTT